GGACAGTGGTGCTCTAACTCAGGCGGGGTAAAGCGCCATATTGCCAGCCTGCATAAGGATGTCTATCAGCATCATGTTCGAGCCTTAGAGCTGTGCGTGGGAAAGGGGCATCTCTTCTTCAGGCATCACCCGTGTGATTTCTGCGGTCTCAAAGTTGATCTACCGTCTCGGCATAAAACAACCTGCTCAGTGCTGTACCAGTGTGCTTTGCTGCATCGCCACCTGCAATGCAGGACTCCCGCAGAACACGATGATGGAAGGTTTGAACGCGGAGATGCGAGAGATCTTCGGTACTTCTTTGCCCAGTCTCATGACGAGCCGACCATCCCAGGCCTCAAACGGCCAGCCGCCGCTCAACCCCAAACGTCAGCGACAGGAGTCACACGGCGGAGGTCGCCCGCGCCAGCTGCAGCCCGTGACAAACCACATGCAAGCCAGCCTAGAGGTTCAGGTAGCCCAACTGGCGCGTGTGGTAATGAAGCACGAGGACCAGATCAACACCGCCAAGCTGGACCGGGGCTTCGTTTTCTTCATGCGCAACAGCGAGGGAAGCATCTTGCAGAACCTCTTCGAGATCAGCCAGAGGACGAGACAGGCGTACGACAACGGCCAGGTGCAGGACAACCCATTAAGGATCCTGCTGCTGAAGGCACTCTTTGTGGAGTTGGAGGGTCGCTTGAAGATGCTGGACCAGGACCCGCAAGCCTTGGAGAAAACGAAACAACAAGGCCTTCTGGGAGACCAGGGCTGGTTCTACAAGCGCTGGGACCGCAAGGCCAGGAAGCTCGTCGACGATCCGCAGCGCACACCGCTCCCGTCCAAGGAAATGGCAACGCTGCTGATGGACATGTTCCGGCTCCTGAATGCCTCCACCGTGCTGAAATTCGGAGCCAGCCGCGGCATCCACGAGGAAGTGCTGGAGGACCCGGACTCCACAACAGTCTTCTTGATGGAGATCTCGTTGAGAGGTCAGGAAGCAGATGCTCTACATCAACACTTTGCCCAGTTGGCAGGGAATGCAGTATGGCATCTGCTTGGAATTCAGGTAAAGCGGGAGACCCTCCGCCGCTCGGGGCAAGCGCGGAGGCTAGGAGAGATGACTCTGGGTTGGACAGACTCCGGCCGCAAGAACTAAACCCTCCTGCCTCTGGCAGTCGAGGTGCAAAGCAAGATGATCGTAGGGTAAATCCTCCTGCAATTTGCAGTGTAGGTGCCTCTGATGGTGTCCCAAGGCAGGATCTGACAACACACATCCTAAACCTTCAACTTTGCAACCCGCACAACATTTGCTACATGAACAGCACCTTTACTGCTGTAGTCTGGAGTCTTCATTGCGCTGATTGGCCACTGGCACGAAGCTTGCTGCAGATACTGCACGGCTCAACTGCAAACTTGCTGCAGGCACTCAGCTTTCAGCTGATGGGCTGGGCAAGGCCCAGAGAACAGCATGATGCATGCGAGTTTTGCTCGTACTTTGTTTCCAGAATGGGGCTACACAGTGCTCTTGCTAGGTGGCATGGCGTCATGTTTGAGGGGGACCGTGCTCATGTGC